CAAATTGTTGCAAATATCAACCCTTTGTTCCTTTTTGTTGTTAACTGGTAATCAGTGACTTGGATGTAAATTTCCAATTATACCCTTTCATGAAAAATTAACTAAGGAACTCTTCAGTTGTCTGTCTACGTTAGGACCATTGCACAACAGGAGTGACCGTCCCCTGGGCTCACCAGCATATCCTGAACTCCACTCACCTCCCAGAAGCCTTTCTTGAGCGACAGGCTATGTCTCCTTGAAGAAAAATGTCCTACAGGGCAAGCTCTCCTGCCATCCTGCCTGCTGAGGTCATCTTGGGGATCCCAGTGGACAGGGGGTGTGATAGGATGGGATTTCTTGGTCCACAGAAATGAAACACTCTCCACCCTCCTCCTTGTGCACCCCAGGAGGCCTCAAGAGGACAGGCAGGTGACCTCTTTAGGGAAGCAGGTAAACTCCAAGAACCATTGTTTTAACTAGGATGTTGTTCCCAATTCTCAGACAGGAGCGTGACTGTTTCCACCTCTCACTATCATCTAAAGCATCCCTGTCGCCCTCCATGAAGCATAAACTCCAGCCCCTGAGCCCAGCATAGTGCCTGCTACCACCGCCCCTCACCACCACCACCACCCCCCGCCAATGTGTGGTGTTGTTGAAGGAGAGGGGCCAAGTTGCAGGGGGCAGTTCACAAAGGCTGACCAAATCAGGCCAGCAAGGTTTCATTTCACACCATTTTCAAAAGCTGCTCCATCAGCTGTTTGACAAAGGTGGGAGTCCGAGTACAGGAGCGGAACAATAATAAAATCATCATCTTCTTCCTCCTCCTCTTTTCCAAATGTGACAGCCCTCCCTCGCCCCAAGGTGCGTCTCCCAGACTGGAAAGAACTCCATGTTCTGGGTGGGGTGGGGCTTCTTACTGAAAAGCAGGTGTTCCGAGAGGTGAAAAGGGCTGGCTGGGTGGAGCTGGAGCTGGAGATGGAGGTGAGGTAGTTCAGGGAGCCTCCTCAGCCACCTAGAAATGAAGGTGCAGAATTAAAGTCCTTCATCCCCTCCCAGGAATAAGGACAGAGGTTCTTACAGCCTTTTCTCCCTTTCTTGCAAGCATACCTACCCTTTGACCCTTGGCCAGGGGCAATCTGAAAGGTTTATATTTCTAGTCAAATAGATGGAAACCCAGAGAGGCCACCACCCAACATCCTTGTCACTGCCCTGAGGCCCCAGATCCTGGGACTTTACCCAACAGCTTGGTAATTCCTGCTCCGAGGAGAATCAGGGGGTGTGGCCAGAACTAACCTGGAAAACATGCAGTTGTAGAGGAGATGCTATGCAAACCTAAGGGTTTGCTCACTGCCCCCCAAAGGATCCTGAAGGTGACTGCCTGCTCACAGGTGGGCGAGGTGCATCATTTGCTGTGGGGATCATTGCATGGCTCCATAAGGGGTGGGTGAGGAGCCGGCACCAGCACCTCCTCCGTGGGTGCTTCACACCGTTCAGGGTTCCTTGCAGGAACTTACTGAGATGCCAGGTGCTATGGCCTCTTCCAACTCTGGAGATGGAGTAAAGGTCCTTCTTTGACACCAACAAAGATCAAAGCTTTGGAGGTTTTTGTCCTGGACTTAAGTAACCCAGGGTGCCATACATTCTATCCAGTATTTGGTTCCCTCTGCAAACTCTATTTCACAAACTCGGTATTTCGTCAATTAATTCAGTATTCATTGACCATTATCTGGTGGCCAAAAGTAGTTCCAACTTCTGGACTTTGTCTTTCAGGGTAAAAAACTGCACTTCTTAGAAAAAAAAAAAATTCACCAGGTCTTTAGAATCTCTGTCGACACCTTGTGGGTTAATGCAGGCTCAGAAAATCCAAATGTTGGCCAGGAGACTGGAGTCAGCAGGATTTCACCTGCATAGTCAATTTTTACCTAGAATAGTGCTCTGCCTGCATTAACTTGTCACCAGTGGAGTGAAAATATGAACCTACAGAATATGATAAAGTTTGACGTGAGGAGTTGTCCGTATACAGAAGATTTAAAACAGAAAGTCCACAAGGAGTCTCCTCTCTCTCTCTCTCTCTCTCTCTCTCTCTCTCTCTCTCTCTCTCTCTCTCTCTCTCTCTCTTTCCTTGGTACTGGAGCTTGAACCCAGGGCTTCTGAGCATTTAAGACCAAGGCTGTACCACTGAGCTACATCCCCAGCCCCAAGAGTCTGTTTCAAATATCCATTAACTCCTTCCTCGTGGGCTGACTGAAGAGCTGACACCTGCCATGTGGAACATTCTAGGCCTATTCCTGAGCCCCTGGTTGTCATCAGTAAGAGCCATCACCATCCCCTCCAAACTGTGGAGATTTTTCTCCTGGACTTAAATGACCCAGGGCTTCTGTACATTTTCTCTAGGACGATCTCTCCTCTTCCTTCCAGTCAAAGCTTCCGTATTCCCCTCTCACAGTGGCTTCTCGGACCACTTGCTCTTCTTGACCAGGAGGAGGACCGGCCTGAGCAAAGACTCCCGGGCAGGAGGGAGCCTGGCATTCCTAGGGATTGGCGGAAGGCCAGGAAGATAGTGAAAAGTAAAATGAGATAAAGTTGGAGAGCAGGTAAGGACAGCCGGCGCGGAACCCGCTGCCCTTTCTCCCAACATCCTGAGCAGGGAAGAAGAATTTGCGAATTTCTTACACGTGCCTTTGCTCAACAGAGCTTTCTGCCCTCACGGAAGCCACGGCACCGAGTCTGATGGCCCTGAGTGAGGCACTGTGAACAGAAGGAACCATCCAGAGGGATCGGTAGTGACATCAGCAGACAAGTCATGTCACACTGGGGTTTGAGCTACAGAAGGACAGGAGAATGTGCAAGTTCCTGCCGAGAGCCTTGATGCCAAATGGCTCCGGGGAAACTCAGGCTTCCTGGGGCCGCTTGAGTCCTGCCCCTCTACTCCCTGGTGGCTGAAGATCCTCTGGTCTGCCGATCCCCTCCTCTGGCCTGCCCTCTTCACCTGAGAGGCCCCACCCTTCCCAGGAACACAGAGTTCTCTGGCCCTGGACTCTGGGAGGGCCTGGACCGTGTCAGGATGTGCTGAGGCAGGTGGGGCGTGCCAGGGGAGGGGAGGAAGGTCAAAGATGGCAAGTGAGGGGGACGAACCAAGAGACGGTGGTAGGGGCTTCCCCTCACACGTGTGGGCTCTTCCTCTGACACAAAGCAAAGGATGCAGATTATGAAATGGAATGAAATCGCACCGTGCCTGTAGAGTTGGGCCAGCCCTGATACATCCACCTGACCTCACTTTGGCCAGCTCTGGGCCTGCAGGTGCAGGCCCGTGTGCCAGGCAGGGAGCGGACGCGGACCGGATGAGGAGGTGAGGTGGCCAACCAGCCTATTTGCTAGGGACAGGGATTTCCCCGGATATGGGACTTTCAGGACTAAAATCAGCTCAGCCCTGGACAAACTGGAACAGTAGGTCATCCTCACAGGAACTGACCACCCCAGAGAGACATTAGAGAAAGTTAGTACAGCACCCGAGGCTGGTGGGCACTGACACCCTCCTTAGGACTGGCAATGCCATTCCTGGCACTCAGGCCTCTCCTTGACAGGAGCGCTGGGCGCCTGATGGCAGCCTGGCCGAGCATCAGCCTTTAGGATGGGCAAAGGGTTTTGTAGAGATTGTGCTGTCCCGACTGTTGGCTAAGGTGATTCTCATTCTATCAACTGCCAGAGCCTGTCCACTGGGCTCCCGCAGGCAAAGGTCAGCTAAGGACAGGCTGATTAGCTTGCCCCTCCGGGCCTTTCTCTTGGTGACACAGCCTCTGGCTCAGAACAAAGGCCCCTCATTTTTGCAGAAGCACTGATTGTTAAAACCGCGAGAGTGCTGTCCCCTGCTGGCCACAGGGCTGTGTTCAGGGATAAGCTTAGCTGCCCCACTGTGACAGCCTCCTGGAGAGCCCTGGACCACACCTCCACCAGAAAGAAGCTGAGGACCCCCTGAAAGATATCCTGTGAAGGACACTGCTTTCCAGGGCCAGAACTCTCAGGCCAGCCCTGGGCTTCTACAATTCCAGTCCCAGTGCTGCACTGGAGCTGGCTCTACTGAAGTCAATGATTAAATATTCAGGAATTTTACAAGCTGCATTGTCAGCTTGGAATTAGTCACGGTGGGAGTATTTACACCATGAAAATTGGCAAATGCTGCAGATTAGAGAGTTTTTCTTAACGTCCAAAGCCCTCTAGCCCATTAGTCAGCACACTATTGTAATGACCCATCAAACTTAAAAAGAGGCAGCCAGGTACAGTGGCCCATGCCTATCATCCTAGAGGCTTGAGAGACTGAGGCAGGAGGATCACGAGTTCAAAGCCAGCCTCAGCAACTGGGTGAGACCCTGTCTCTAAATATGAAAAGGGACTAGGGATGTGGCACAGTGGTTGAGTACACCTGGGTTCAATCCCCAGTACAAAACAAAAGAAAGCAATAGTGCGCATGCTTAGCATATGTGAGGCCCTGGGTTCCATCTCCAGCATGAAAAAAAAAATCTTAAAATATTATCATGTGGGAGACAAAAATTACCACCTGTTAGTAAGGGTGTTCTCAGATAAATCACCAAGTATGTGATTGATTCACAGAAAAGAGATGCATTCTGATAGCAGGGAGATGATATACATTTTAATAAGAGGGAAGTTGTGAGGAAGGAAATTTCTTAAACTTCAGCTTACGTGCAGTTGAGGGCACTGTTTGAGTAACAGCTCTTGTGCTTACTAACGATATGCCAATAGGCAAATTCCTTCACCTCTTTAACTCCCAGGTTTCCTGTCTGCAAACAGAGGTAATAGGAGTAGTAGTGGTCCAGTTTGTAAGTTCATAAAGGGCAAGAGTCAAGTCTGATTCTAACTGTAAGATCCAAATTGTACCTTCAATTAGATTGTACCTGATTTGAAAGACTCATATTCACAAGAGGCAGACTGCATAGAATCTAGCAAAGTGGTAACAGAAAGTAGGGCTCTTCCAGTGTAAACAGACACAGGACTTAGCATGTGCTTTGCTCCCAAAAGAGGCAAGAGCTTGGTTGTGCAGTGAAGACACCTGGCAACATTTCTGTAGAACCCAGTGGCCAGTACCCAGGAATATGGCCCTCTCTAAGGCTTTATGCTCGCCTATTAATCTTTAGGTGAATAATTTGGCTTTTTGGTTGCTGAAATCCTCTGAAGAAACTGTCCTGCCTAGTCTCAGAAAGTTGTGAATGAGTTGGCATTGCACTCCTTTGAGTTTTGTTAAACAGTCCACTAAGATTAGATGTGATTGCACAAGACAGAAAACACAAAGTATACATCTATTTGTCTCCCATGTCAACAAAACCCACATGGCAACTCCACAACCACCTTTTGGTTCCTCCGTTCTCAAGGGTTAGTTTTCACTTCACGGTTCGAGGTGGCCACTCAGGTTCCCATCGTCAAGGTTGCTTTGTAGTCAGCAGGAAAACCATACTTTCCAAGTCCGACACTTCTGATTACAAATCATTGACCGGATGTAGACTTTACCTAGGTAAAAAAAATGTCTTTATTCCAAACAAGCGTAGGAGTCAAGTACCTACTTAAAAATTAAGGAGTTTTAATAAAATACTGACAGTCTACAATAGTAGGTCAATTTCCCTGAGCACGCTCACTTCCCCATCAGTCCCATCTGGACCATAAGCCCCAGCATGGGAAGATGACTGGATTCCCCTCTGTGACACTCTTTCCTGCCTCCTGTTGGTGGCAGAGACCCCTTCTGTTGACTCTCTAGAACCTTCCAATGTTGAGAGCCACAGCCAAAGGGGCCCCAGCAAACTTCCAGCTGCCGGCTGATGATTGGCTCACAGTGGCCCCAGCAACATCTAGCTGATTGGCTCCTCTGAGATGATGTTCATTGGGCTGTTTCCCTGCCCTTCAGACTGCCAGCTGATGATTGATTGGCTCACAGCAGCCCCAGCAACATCTAGCTGATTGGCTCCTCTGCGGTGATGCTCATTGGGCTGTTTCCCTGCCCTTTCAGACCACGGAGCCGCTCATTGGGGGAC